GTAAATAAATAAAATTAATTAATTAAAAAAAATTTCTATTATACTGAGTTCCCAAAGACTTGGCCAAATCTTCACGACCTTTCCTGTCAGATAACCTCTGTCTGTGGAGCATCTTGAAAGAATATATAAGGCAACAGTATTTGCAATCAGGGCAAGCAAAATAAAACTATCTTCTTGTATTAAAGCTGCCAGCTTCCCAAATAGAGAATGCTGAAGGAAAAAGGTAGAAGATCAAGAAAAACAAGTTAAATTGACCAAGTGTGCTTTAAACTGTCCCCTAAGTTTGAAAAGCCCTCCTTACCCCAGCTGATGACGGAAAGACAGAAGCCAGCTATGTTCATATAACACTCGTGTTTGAGGTAGAGTAGAGCAAAGAGTTCTCAAAGGGGCCCCGGGACCCTAACATCAGCATAGATTGGGAACCTGTTAGAAATGCAGGTTCCCAGATCTGGGCTGGGGGATGTGGGAGAGGTGGGCAGCAATCCCTCCAGATGATTCTGACCCCTGCCAGTGTGCGAACCATGGATGTCAAGGTTGGTAGTCCAGCTTCTGGGGTCAGAGTCACTGGGGTTTGAATACCAGGGTTTGTCCCCGGTAAATAGGGTGGGACTTCGGACAACTTACTTAATTTGTCTCTTCTTTAATTTCCTCAGCTGTAAAACGAGGACAGTGTTAGTCCCTAGCTCACTGGAACACTGGTGGTAAGAGGATACGTGTAAAGGTTTTGCAACATGCTTAACACATACTAAGCACTCAATAAATGTCAGCGATTATTTTCTCTACTATGGAGCTCATCACAGATTTGCTTTTCATTCAGTTTACTCAGCTACTGATTTGATTAGCATTTATTGAGCATTTACTCCATACCAGACTCAGGGCACTGAGTCACACAGCATTCAGTCCTGAGTTAGTGCCGATGAAATCCCACCGCCAGTGCCATACTCCCAGAAACCTCAAGAATCTCTGATGGGGGGACCCCAAGCTTGGATAGGTTTTAAAAAGCTACTCAGGAGCTTTTAGTTTCTTCCAATGGAAGCAGCAGACCTGCAAGCAAGAATTACAGAGCCCAAAGCCCAAGAAGAAGAGTCTGGATGTATGTACATGATCCCAGAGAAAGTTCTGGAAGGAGCCCTTTGCCCAGCACGCTTTCGTTTGTGCTTACATATTCCTCCCCGGCTTTACTGATCTTAGGAAGCACAAATCATGTTTTCCTCAATCCTCAGTGCCTGCCCCCTTTGCCAGACAAAGAGTTCCTACAGAAGGAAGTCTGTTGATGCAAGAAGAATGAGTGCTGTTTTTAGGATTGGGCCCTCCCTACTCTGGGAAGCCTGAGCACAGTGTTTCAGGACAGAGGAGTAATTTTATGGCCTCCGTCTCCTCCCTAACCAACTCCTGTAGATGCAGATGTACATTTCCCTGGATAAATTGCCCAAGCCCCAAGGCCAGATATAATGGTTTCACACACCAGTTTCCAAGGGGAGGAGCAACAGGAGCAAAGCTTTTAAATTAATTAAAAGAGACACTCAGGCACACTCCATGCCATTCTTTAATCTCCACTCTCCTGTGATAAATATAGAATGACAGGCCCGGGCCCAGGCTAATGAGTTGAAGGCAGGACCCTATGGAGACTCGCCAAGCAGCCCTCAGAAACATGGCAGCAAGGCCCGGGGCTCAGAGAAAGGAAGAAGAAAATCAGCACCTTGCCCCAGCTGGGTCACTGATGTGCCACCAGAATGCTCTGAAGCGTTCCCACTGGACATATGATCCCCCTCTTCCTTGACCAGCAGCGGTTCAAACAACAGACGGAGGGAACAGCATGTACCGCAGTAAAAGGGTCAGAGAGTAGTAAGTTAAGATTTACTGACGGTTTTCCAGTGTCAGAAAAGGCACTGTGCTAAAGGCTGTTCAGGTAGTACTTCATTTAATTGTGGTGACCAGCTTCCCAAACATTCCTCACACCTCCTAGCATGCACACCCTCTCCATACAGTCCCCTCACATGCTGAATCCAAGCTGGCACATGCGACCGATAGAAAATTCCAGAAGAAACGGTCTGTGACTTCTGAGCTTAGGTGATAGGATCACTTGCCCTGGCGGAAGCCAGCGCCATCTCAAGAGAACATTCAGGCTGCCCTGTGGTGAGGCCGGTAACCAGGCCACTTGCAAGTGAATCCTCCAGCTGCAGCCAAGCCTTTGAGTCATCCAGCTTAAGCCCCAGACACCACAGAAGGAGAAGCCGTCCTTGCTGGGCCCTGTCTGAATGGCCTGACCCACAGAGCCCATGAAGTAATGGTTTTAAAAACTAAGTTCTGTGATTTGTTACACAGCAATAGCTAACCGATACATAAGAACCAGATACAATTAGTTTACAGTTGAGGCGAGTTACAGTGATCCACTCATGGGCACAGTAAGTGAAGCAATGGGGATTTGCATCCAGGTTGGCAGATTTGAAGTTCTAGCTCTCATCCTGTTCTCTTACTCCTGACAGATAAACTTAAGTTGCGTAACCGATTTCCCATCCCTTTGGTTAAGGGAAAATCAACTACTTAATAGGAAGCTCTGAAACACTTTAGTTGTTCCAAGAGACCTTGTTCATCCACCATGGCACCCACACCATTCTGCCTTGAATTTTAGCCGTTTCTCCATGGAGAGAAGTTCCTGGAGGGTTGGACTGACTAGAGGGTCTTCTGCTGATAGTGCTTGTAAATAGCAGAAGGGTGGGGACAGGATGCCAGGTCAGTCCCACAGACACCATTAACCTGCTTAAAGGTTTGGCAGCTCTGCTCTACCACTTTCAGGCTGGGTGATTTTAGGCAAGTTGTCTAAGTTTCAGGAGCTACCATTTCCTCACTCTGAAAACAACCAATATTCATATACACACTTTTGTTCACACTACGTTACAAACATACTCAAAGTATTGAGCACATTTGCCTGGCACACAGGAAGTGCTCCGTAAAAATGTGACCTCTATGAGTTATCAAATAGGTGTTGAAAAACACCCAGCATTTTAAACGCCCAAGCAAAATCTCCTCGCTCAACCTTTTCTCATACTGAAAGGAAATTTCCAAAGACATAGCAATGGTTCTTGGGGGTAGAGATCTTGCTCTACAGGCTGGCCAGCATGCTAATGTCTTGGCCACGGTGCCTACCAGATCCCAGGCTGCCCTTCTGGAGTGATGAGAGGGTCAGGGAAAGCTGCCCTATACAGGTGGAGAGGGACTTCGCGTGCATCCTATCTCTTAATCCCATTACACACTCTTACCATTTTGTCAGCCTGGACAAAGCTCCTTAGGTCCTGCCAACACTCGTTCCAATGCCTTCCCATGCGGTACACCCTTCCTTGGTCTTGGAGCTAACGAGCTGTCAAGTGTCTTACCGTCCCCTCAGGTGATTTCTACTCAAAGGCTATTTAGAGGCCCACCTCCCCTTAAACTTAGCTTTACGTAGCTCTCCCTCTCTCCCTCTCTCTTTTTGTTACGCCTTAAAGGGTTTTCTATGTAAAATTCTCTCTGGGTCCAAAATGCTTCCACAACCTTCCACTTCTGGGTAAGAGTGAGAAAAGAGAAACTGGGGGAGAAGCCGGCCACTTCCACCCAATCTCAAAATGAGCACAAATTTCTGGCACTGTGAGGTGCTAGGTCAGATTCTCCGGGGGATATATGAGACCCCACGCCTCGCCCGTGTAACAGGAGTATGATTAAAATATTGACAGCTCGGGGTGCCTGGGTGGCTCAGCTGGTTGAGCGTCTGCCTTTGGCTCAGGTCATGATCCCGGGGTCCTGGGATCGAGCCCCACATCGGGCTCCCTGCTCCGCGGGAAGCCTGCTTCTCCCTCTCCCACTCCCCCTGCTTGTGTTCCCTCTCTCTCTGTGTCTCTCTCTGTCAAATAAATAAATAAAATCTTTAAAAAAAATAAATAAATAAAATAAAATATTGACAGCTCTAGAAACAAAGAGCCAAGGGAAGGATGCCATGTGTAGCAGAGACACAGGGCCGTGGACAGCAGAGGAAGGAAAGAGCTGATAGGTGAGGACAAGGGAGACTTGAAGCAGCGGGCCTCAGGCGTGGGTCCTGAAGAATGGGCGAGTGCCCTCTAAGGGTGGTGGGGAAGGGCAGGAAGAGCCCCCCCCCCCCCCCCGCCCGCCCCAGGCGGAAGAAATAAAAGGGATGAAGGCAGGAAAGCTTAAGAACGGTTTACACAATGCTATGGATTTGCAGGGAAGCAGAGACAGGGCTGCAAAAAATAAAATAGATTAGGAGGAAAACCCCCTGGCAATAATGAGCAATAAAGGCTTCCAAAAAAGATAAAAGTATCTTTGTAGATTACAGAGCAAACTGGAGACATGGAGATTTCATGAAGAAGAATAAGTAACAGAGTTCTCCAGGATCATAAAACCCTCAGACTAGAGAAACAGAGTTTCAAAGGAGGCAATGTCAAGTGGACAGGTGGAAAACTCTTCCCCACACTTAAATCCCCTCACTGCAAGTTTTTTGCTTGAACCACTGAACACTCACTTTCCAATTACTTTCGTCCTTAGTTTAAAAAATTATTTTCCCTAGTTTTTTTAAAACTATTACCTCAGGTGAGCAGGCGCATATTAGATGATGAAAGTCAGGAATCTGTTACTTACCGGCAGGTTCATTGTAGTAATTTCCAAGAGCCAGTATCCACTACCCAGACTGGTTTCAAGGCGGAGGAAATGGGTATCACAGAGTAACAGGACTATTGATAGGTCTAAGGGTGTGTCTGTCTGCGCCTCAGTGTATTTTTCTATCCTCTGGCTCAGATTTAGAAAGCCACACAGAGTAAGCTCTCAAACAGAAATTCTCTAAGTCCCAAATCCCTTTTCTTTTTCCTTAGAACCAAAGAACTAAGTTCCAGAAAGAACCAGAAAACAGCATAGGCCATCAGGCATGGTGGGTCCCTGCTCACTGCTTCTGTGTCCTCCCAGGCCCCAAAGACGTCCCCTGCACAACACCGCCCCAGGCCCGGCCTCCTCACCATATACCACATGCTCGGCCACTTGGGATCGTTGAAGTAAGTCGGCTGGGCACGACTGAAGTCATAATCCCTCTTTGTCCGTTTTTTTACCACTTGCTGTTGGATCCACTCCACCTGCCAAGAAGAAGGACATTTGGTGAGTGTTCAAGTTCCACCAGGGTTAGCACAACATAAATGACGGTCAGAGGCAGGTCCCGTCCTGAGCCAACGTTGTTCAAGTCACAGACTTCATGCCGGCAACTCAACGCCGAGTCAGGGGCTCCGAGTCTCCGGAAACCTAATTCTCCCTTATTTTCAATGCAGGTCGGCATTCTAGTCTTTAATCGACAGGTCATCCCCATCTCTCAACAACATGCTAACTTTTTAGCTTCTTTGGAAAGCCTATTTTACTCACAATTTATTGCAAATGGATCGTGTTAATTTTTATACTCATTTTTTTCACCCTTACCTTCTATCAAGGGTCAGTATAGTTTTCCTCTAAAGGTCCAGGTCATAAATATTTTAGGTTTTGCAGGTCATAGGATCTCTGCCACAACTCCTCTTCCTGACGTCATCCACCACAGACGTACATAAATGACTGGGTGGGACTGTGTCCCAGTAAAACTTCATGTAGAGAAACCAGTAGCAGCCTGGATATGGCCCACGGGCCACAGTTTATGACCCTTGCCTTATACTACACATTTTTTTTTTTTTTTTAATGCTCTGGGCTTACACAGCAAATTTTAAAATTATCCTGGGATCAAATGCTCTAGGATCACTTTTTTTTTTTTTTTTTTTAAAAGAAATGGCTTCCTACAACATAGTGTGGTAGAAACAGCAATATTTGGGGAATCAGAAAACCAAAGCCCTACACCTGTCTCTGGCACAGAATTGGAGAAATCACTCAATTGCCTGAGCCAAAGGCTCCATGCCAGCTCAAATTCAAACCTACCACCCTTGAGAAAGTCTGAATATTTAGCCACAAATTTGGCTTAAACAAAGCAACTGAGAACTTCTGAGTTTAATACCGAATTATAACCTAAATGTTAGGGCTACACATGGGGGGCATTTTTTTAAAAAACAGGTCATCATTATGGCAACATAAAACTAAGCGTGCTCTATTTTTTTTTTTTTTTTTAAGATTTTATTTATTGTCAGGAGAGAGAGAGAGCACAAGCAGGGGGAGCGGCAGGCAGAGGGAGAGGGAGAAGCAGGCCCCTCACTGCTGAGCAGGGAGCCCGATGTGGGGCTCGATCCCAGGACCCTGGGATCATGACCTGAGCTGAAGGCAGACGCTTAACGGACTGAGCCACCCAGGCGCCCCAAACATGTTCTGTGTTGACTGGTGCATCTGAAATGCCGTATCAGCCCTGGTGGCATTCTATAATTTGTTCCTAAGTTCTCCTGTGTTCGATTTCTCCTGTTATTTCAGCCAAATACTCTTAAATGTTCTGTTCTACCATTTATCCCTACTCTCCACAAAGGGATTAAAAATGGAGGGGAATCTCTAGGGCAAGCCCACTAGAGATTCCATATCCATCCATTCAGTAAAAATCTCCAAACCACTTTTGCCTACTTGATTAAAGATCGCTGGAGGAGAAGGGCTACTCAGGTACTGATTAACGAGCTCAAAATGCACTGCTATACACAAGGTACTAAGGCCAAAAGCCAAACAAATTTCTCTGATTCTCCCATCGGGAAATATATTCAACAAGACTACTGGTATGCAAGATGAATTTAAAGAGTGAATTCCTAGTTACAGCACTAAAAAGGCAAACGGAATTTCACAGCCTCCTAAAGAAATATAAACTCCATTTATGATTAGGATCACAGATAAGCATCATCTATGTGCCTTCTGCGACAGGTAATTTAGGCAAAATTACCAGTACGGCAAAAAAGCCAGTAAATGAAAAATAATATTCTAGAATGGAAGTTGTTTCTGCTCCTGTTTTAATTAATGTAAACTAAGTGACTCTCTGGCCCTGAATCATTCTCCACCCCACCACCCCCAACACATGTACCTGTGCACGTGGGGGAGAAGGGTTTGTGTATCTTTCTATGATCTACTGGACAACGGTTGTCAGGGAAGCCAAAAAGGATCTTGGTTTTTTTCTTTGACTGGAGAGACTGCTCTTTAGAAATCACATCAAAACTAACATGGCATTAACAATGCGTGTAAAATTTTTTTTTTTTAACGAAGAGGGTAATTCTTAAGTGACCGAGTTTCTAAAAATACAGGGGAAAAATCAATTTCCTTCTCAATCAAAGTAGAGCAGTAAGCATGGGCCTGCATGCACTTTTTCTATTTCCAGGAAACATTTTAATCTCTTCATTTCAAATAATCTTGCTAAGGAAGGAGTTTCATTCGCCCACTTGTTCATTCAATGAGCATTAAGTGTCTATTCTGCACCAGACACTGTGCTGGGAATATAAAGATGAGCAAAAATAGTCTTTGGCTTTGAAGGACTTACATTTTACCAAGAAAGATTTAGCAAGTATTCCACAATTCTCCACTTCATAAAAATGTAGTTATCACCATGAATGACACCTATCACTCTATTAATTAGAGCATTTGTGAAAATTTTGACTATGCAGATTATCTATGTGCAATCCTTACATTGCTGTGTGAGGCGTATCCCAGTTAAGATTAAATTCATACATGTTTGCACGCTTGGTAAAAGAAGGCTGCAGATCAGTTTAGATGGAACTCTTTCCAAACTAATCCTATATTGGCAGTGACTTTTCCTAAGAGAGCCTCCATAAATTCTAAATTGCCACCTATATGTGTACGTAAACCAGAAGGTGTCAAACCCCCCGGTGTTGTCTCAAACAGATTGCTGGAAAGCAGAACAAGTCTACACTGGGGTGGGGGGGCGCATCGTTGTGTATCATTGTTTCTACAACAACACCGTAAGTCTGCACTTCCCCTAAGCACACACGTACACACAGACAGACGAATGTGGGATAAGTATGTGAGAAAACCAAGTGACAGCCATTTTCCTAGATGAACTGTAGGTACAAAAATAGAACAAAATATCTTATGGAACAGCATCCCTTCTGTAATTTTACCGAACAAAAGTGCTTAGTTACAGGCTTGGTGGCTGGAAGGTGGCACTGCATGTTGGCATCTAGATTTGACTACAAGTCACTCTGTCTGATCACAGGGCTGAAATAAGAAAAGTACAGTGGGTTGGTTTTTGTTTCTTGTTCTTTTCTTTCTTTCTTTTTTTTTTTTTTAGTGTCAGATATCATGTATTTTGTCTTGGTCCTTTATGAGTATGAGTATACAGCTCTACATTTTTTGGAAACTGGGAAAAGCACCTCTTGGATCGGAAGATTTCTATGACTGGAAAGACCAGATTTATATTTTTAAGCCATTATCCATATGTCTATCCTTGAATCCTTTAAGAAAAAGCTCAGAAGTAATGCATTACACAGATTTCCCATTTTGCCAAGAAGCCCCAATGCATAGAAAAGATGCTTAGAAATTCATTTTCATAAAACTAGGGCCAGCCCAGGAAAAAAGGAAAATTGTGTGCTTTCCCTCACTGGTTTAACCTCTGAAGGGTCTATTTCTTATATATATTAAGGAACTACAGTTAATCCAGACTATAAAAACCACAGGACCTTTGAAGTCATCAGTGTATCCTTCATTAACTTCAACTTATGTGCGCTCCATGGTTTTAAGGACACTCCAATACAGCTCTCCTCTCCCTGTAGGGTCCAAGTTAACAGTGGGCATCTGCCTCACCAGAATCTTTGTCGAAAGATGTTCTCTTTCATCAGATTTCACGTGTCAAGCAAAGCTCATTAAATGATCATTCTGGGAAACCTACCTCCCCCAACCATCTCAGTTGAACTCCTATCCCATTATTTTGCAATTTAACAACTTTCTGAAATAGGATAAAAAAGAAGTTATATGAATACATATTATGGAAGTTATTATATAAATGTACTTGGAAAACAAATTATGATAGTAGAAAGAAGACAAATACTACATGGCATCACTTATATGTGGACTCTTAAAAAAAAAAAAAAGCCAGACTTGTAGAAACAGTAGAAAAGTGGTTGCCAGAGGTTGAGGGTGGGAGAAACAGGGGCAGGTTGGTAAAAGGGTACAAACATTCAACCGGAAGATGAGTCATGTCTCAGGATCTAATGTATGACTGAAGATCGAATGTAATGGTGATGATAGTTGATAACACTGTATCATATAATTGAAATCTGCTAAGAAAGTAGAATCTAAATGTTCTCACCAAAAAAAAAAATCATATGTCTATACACAGACATATATGTATATATATAAATATATATATAAATACACACACACACACACACACACATATATGGTGATGAATGCCAATTAACTAGATGGAGGAAATCCTTACATTTTATGTGTGTGTATACATATAATCATATATATAATCACTACAATGTACACTTTAAATATCCTATAATTTTCTATGTTGATTATGCCTCAATAAAGCTGAAATTTAAAAAAAAAATTAAAGGTCTCACTTTAAAAATGTGTCTCACAGTTGGGAGGAATTAGCCCTTTAGATATTAAAATATATTAAAACTAATGATTAAAGCATATACTGGCAGCAAATGTCAACAGATTTTAATGGAATGGAAAGTCAAGAAATTGACCCCAAATATATGAAAATATAGTATATGATAAGGGTGCTATCCTAAATCATGTGGGGAAAAACAGATTACTTCATAAGTGATGTTGAAACAATAGCCAACTGGGGGAAAAAAATAAAATAAAATTGAAATCATGCTAATATCTTACATCAGGACTAATTCCAAATGAATGATATTTAAATGTAAAAGTAAATGAATAAAACCATAAAAGTACCCTGAGAAATATGGGAGGTTTAAAAAAATAATCTTAGAGTGAAAGATGTTTGTCCAAGTATAATGTAAATCAAAAAAGTGATTTAGAAAAAGTGATACATTTAACAATGTAAAAAAATAAATAAGGTATGGCAAAAAAAAAACTTCAAAAGCAAGGCAGATGACAAACAGGAAATGTTTCCAGCTCCTACTACAGACAAAAGGTGATTTCCCTAATATACGAAGAGTTTCCACAATCAATAAGAGAAAAATGCAGTAGGAACACAGGCAAAAGA